TGTGTGTTAGTTTAAGCCAACATGGATCAACTACATGTGTGCACCGTTGGATTGTAGTGTCAAAACAGTTGTCATATGGACATTTTACACGCCTGCACTTTGTGTGTAAGTAAATAATGCAAAAAAAAAGAGACTCGAAATGTCAAATACCAAGTCAAGCCAAAGTAACAGACAGCGCAGGCAGATATGTTCACATAGCTATTAGTATGTGGAAGGTGTAACGAAGTATGATAACAAAAATTCATAGTAATATGGGCGCGCTCGCAATATCGCAATTCAAGCAACGCTAGCAGGTTCCACTTCTTGTGCTCTCAAATGCACGACGCGCAACTTTGCAAGTTACACTCTGACTTGCCTGTGATAACTCTACGGTCTTTGACGCCTGGAATATGTATAATGGAAGTTGTTGCTTCACACATACCAGCTTTTCGCAGTGCCACTCTCATTCATTTAATCGCTCATTGACTACCTCTCCCTAACTTTTAGCTCTAAGCCTCGCCACTTTTCCGAAGCATACTTCCAGGCGTTTCAGCCGTTTTGTCAATCTCAAATGTGTTCTTATTCCATTGGCTGCTAAGCTGCTCTACAGGCTGGTGTGCTGTGAATTTTTGATGGCGCGCTAAATTTTTGTTTGCTTCTTGAAATTTTCGAATGAACCGATTTTTGGACGCTTGCAAGCTAACAGCGGTTTTTTGCCGACACACACACACACACACACACATACACTTCTTCATACCCTCTCGCATGTCATTCTCTTCGTTCTATCTGCTCCTTTGTTGTTTATCCATTCGCCTACTTCGTCACGAACTCTTTTACACTCTTTGTGCGTTGGCCGATGAACTCTGTGCTGTGCTTTCACTTAACTTTTCTTTTCCGCTGCCAGCAGGAGGAGGAGGATGCTGTGCGCTAACATAGCATACTGTGTGCGTGTGCGTTCACGAATATCTGCGTGTGTGTGTTTGTGTAAGCTTCTGGCTGCAGCTCGTTTGTCTCTGCCATGAATGAAAGCAACTTTATTTTCTTTCAGTTCCAGCATCATCGTCATCCAGTGCAGTTCTGACTACTATTTAACTAAGCGCGTTCCAGCGTTTCCTTGCCCCCCCGCACAAGGGCGTATTGACTTTTGTACAAAATAATTTTTCACACAGCACACACTCACACATGCATAGTACATATAAATTCTTAACTCTAAAAATAATTGAAACAAGTGTGCAAGAAATAACTGTAAAGAAGTACATAGTGAAAAATTCTTAAGAAAACTCAAAACGAAAATTCATCAAACGAAATGCTAACTACAAGCCGTCGCATGCGTATACATACATATGTAGCATACTTTTAGGTGCTCTTTACTTTTAAGTTATTGTGCAAAGTGTGAAAGTGGCGTAAAGTGAAGAAAAGTGCAAAGCGAAAAATTTGGTCTGTAGTTTTTAGCCAAAAGTACCGATCCGTCATGTGCAAATTTTCGGTTTCAAAACGCTTTGGTTTCGTCAATACAATAAAATTAATCATTGTTGCATTTACATAGCTGAAAATTTATTTCATTTTTCGGCCAAGAATATCGATTGGTGGCCTTGCATAAGTCCAGTTTAGCGAGTGTTGTATCTATGTTTGGACACAGATACAGAAATATGTACAAACCTAAGGCTACGGCCAGCACATACACACACACACACAGAGGGTCCGACGGTGGTGCGTTCCCCCAGTAAGCACAAATATTTGTAAACGCGCGCTGCTAGCCGTAAACAGGAATAAATTTAAATGTTAAGAAAAGCAAAGCTGCAGCAGAAAGCGAATGAAAAAATGGAAAAACAATAAAAAGAAACAACTAGCAGCGCGTAGAAAGACAAACGCAGCAGCAGCTGGCTCGCGAGAAAAAAAAAGTTGGAGAAAAGGAGGAGGAAGAAGAAGCGTGTGAAAAAAATCCACTTTACAGGAAGTGTAGGGAACACAGCAGCTGAGGAAGTTGAGCAAGAGGCTTAATTAATCGAATAAAAATTAGGATCATAGCGTAATTAATTGAATTTATTAACAAACAAAAAAACGGTAAATGCTTTCATTTCAATAAAAAAATAATAGTAATAAAAAAAAGTGCGAAAAACCTCAAGCGAGTGTTGGCTTAGCGCAGTCGAAAAACAAACGGAAATGTTGGAGAAAAGTAAGTTTATATAAAGGTAAAAAAAATATTTCATGATTTTGAACAAGTGTACATAAATTTGTGTGTGAAAACAACAAAGGTAACTAAGAAAAAAAACTACAACAAAAGATATGGTAATTTTTTCATGACAAGATTACTGCTTCAGCTTCATGAAATGTAATCATGTACAGTCAGTCAAAAAAGATTAGGTACAGCGAATTTTTTACAATAAATACGGGCAACTATTTTTTAAATATTTTATTTTTCGCTAATTTTTTATAAAAATGTGGTTAATTCTACAGCAAAAAACCAAAAAATCAGAGTTCCAAACCTTGTGCAAAATTAAACAAAAAATTCCGCAAAATTTCATTCAAATATTGCACTTTTTATCTACGCTCCCTAGAAAAAAGTTGAGTATGCAGTTTTTTAGTCCATTCAATTTTATAGTATAATAAAGTGCAAGAATGAGGAAGCTAGGACTTACCATTGATTTTTGGCACATTTTTTTTGTTGAAGGTGTCGCACATTTTTTCCATATAAAAAAGTTATCGAACATTATTTTATATTGAGAAAATAAGCGACACCTTCAACAAAAAAAAAATATTGGTAAAAATCAATGGTAAGTCCTAACTACCTAAAACTTGCATTTCGTTATACTAAAATTGAATAGGCTAAAAAACTGCGTACTCGACTTTTCTCTAAAGAGTGTAGATAAAAAGTGCAATATTTTAATGAAAATTTGCAGATATTTATAGATTTACTGAAGTTTGTCGA